TAGATACGTCATCTAGAAATAAACAAAAGAAAGTTAAAAATAAAAAATTAATAATTTCGTTTAAAAATATATCTTAATTATTGTTTTAATATGCACAATTCAAACATTTATTTAATATGTACGATAAAATATACATTAAAATTATTATTAATGATTATACCTGTTTGTTCCAGTACGTTCTGTGTAATTTCTGTAGCATTAGATTCTAAGGAATCAATAACTGTAGAAACATCTTCCAGTACATGGTTTTGTGTAATTTGTGTAGCATCAAATTCTAAGGAATCAATAACTGTAAAGATATCTTAAGTTACATAAAGTATTAAAAATTTAAATTATTTAACATTCTATTGATTAATCATACCTGATGATTCTCTTACATGTGTTGACACATTTGGTAAATCTATATCTTTTTGTACTACAATGTTATAGTGTGAAGCATCAATAGCATCTATAAAACATAATAAAAACATAATAAAAAGATATTTTTCATAAATATATACATATCAATAAAAACTTTTATATAAATACATATTTTAGTAATTAAAATATACATACGTGGTAAATTTAAAGTTGGTATAGCTGTCTTACTAAGCCTCTTACAATTAGATATCTTAAAACAATCTTCAAAGTGAGCTTCACATATAACTCTTTCTACAAGTTTTTCTAAATTTAATTGTAGCAAATCAGTATCACCACATGCACTAATCCATTTAGTACATTGTTCTATAGATTTTGGAAAATGAAAAAATTTTTCAGAATTAAAGTTGCATCCTTTAACTGCACACTTTTTATGCAACATATTTCCTAAAAAAAAAGAGATAAATATTTTTAAAAATAACTAAATTAAAAACTAATTGAAATTATAAAATATCGTTGTAATCAAACTAATAAATATACATACTGTAAATTAATAAAAGTAATTTGAGTGAAGTACAGAAAAACAAAATGCGTACACATAAAACGGCTATACGTCGAAAGTTGATCATAGGTGGATCGACTCGAGATTTCACGGATTTAGATAAAAACTTTCAGAGGAGGATCAAAAATACATTAATTGGACCGCACCAGAAATTTCCGAATCATACCGGTCACACTCAATCACAATATCACGACGTGAATGCTTTGCGTCTCGTCATGTATCTGTGTAGAACTCACCGATATGTTTTGAATATGTATTAGTGTATCTGGTAACGCAATCTACAAATCCGGGGGAAAGCTTTTAAGGATGCGGTTTATAAGTGTCAGCTTGGGACCTCTGGCCGAGAACGATGCATTTTTGGGGGTGCATCGTTACAAGAGGTTACGAGGATGATGTTAGATGTAAGTGCTTATCAATATCTTATTATTTTGTATTATATAAAATAATAAGATATTCTAAAGAAATGAAGCTATACGAATTTTTAGATACGAAAAATTAAAAGTTTTTAATATTTCCCATAATTGTATAATACTCTTAATAGTGACCTGCCAGCGTACAAAACATTTCATTTTTACAGTTTTACCCTTATTATTAGTTACTGTTATATCTTTTAAGAAATTCAATGTTTCTTGTAAAAATTCCAATTGTTTCGTGCTTCCGATAAATACTTTTCTATATTCTTTTTGAACTGACCATAAAAGATGCATTTAAAATATCAAACAATTTAAAACATCAAAATGATCAATAAATTCTATGCCCAATTGCTTCAGATGGAAGACAACCTACAGACATTAGCGTGCACATACCTGCAGCTACATGATTACTCAAAACTTGTACGGCGTATTTAACTTTCATTTTCGTAAAATTATTGGGTTCAATATCGGAGATAATTTAGGAGCTGCCTTTAGCCATTGTTCAGTATCTTTTAAATAAAATTGCTTAATATGAGACCACGATGCAAACTTATCATTAAATTTGATATCATATTATCATTTTAATATATTATTACGCGTTGCTTTGATTAAGTGAAAAGTATCAAAAATATATTATATATTTTGTCCATCAACAACAAATATTGAATTTTCTTTTGAAATTCCTAATTGACGAGATAATTGCAAGAAATTGGAACCCATGTCCGTAACAAATGCACAGTAGCACATTCTTTTAATTTTATTATTGCATCAAAAATAATAGATTTTATTATATCGCTTGTACAACTTGATGCTACAAAACAAAACAAAGTGGAACTTTCCAGTTACCTGCAATACTGCCATAAGAACAAAGGCATTTTTTGCAAGTATTGGTAATTTATTATTACCAACATCTTGAAATCCTATTATTTCATCTCGTGATACATTATAAAATAAATGAGATTTTAAACTCATTTCGTCCGCACACAATATACAA